CTCAATGAATCAGAAGATCCAAATTTAGCATGGTCTGATTGGAAAACAAAATTATTGCGCGGTGTTAACTCACATGTTCCTCTTCGAACTAGACGTAATAAATTGAACTAAACGCCCAGATTAATTCAGCCTTGAAGAGAGGTATGCGCTGGCGCGATGCAGCTAAAAGAAAAGCGATAAAAACAAAGAATCCCCAAGACTGGGGCAATTACAGAAAGCTCCGAAATCAAATCAACAATGAAGANTGGCCTGACCTGGCTTGACCAAAGAAAGCTCTACAAAACAGTTCTAGTTAGGTCTAAGGTAAAAAGGATTAGGTAATGACATGAATTATCTAAAGGATCACATAATCCACTACAACGACTGGCTAGGCCGGAATTTTACCTTTCACAAGATTAATCATTTTCGAAAAGCTCTAGTGGATAACAACTACATAAAAGGCCACTGATTACAGGCGACGGTTACAGTTTAACACTAATTACAGTTTTGATCTGTTTGTGGCTGACTGAATGGAAACTGGTAGCATTTACGCTTTGCTGGGCTTAGCAAGATCTTGCAGTTTCTACGTTGAATTATATATGTATATATATATATATATTTAGCGCTAGCATGAAAACTCGATAACTTAGAATCCTATCGTCACAAAATCGTATTTGACGAATCGTACACAACGTTACTCAGTTTACGGTTGTCTCGGACCTCACCACTCTTAAATGTGGTGTGACACAATGTGGTGTGACACAATGTGGTGTGACACAATGTGGTGTGACACAATGTGGTGTGACACAAGGAACGATCCTTGGCCGTCTTTTATTTCTAATTTATATTAACGATTTGACTAACTGTCTTTCGTTCAGCATACCTAGAATGTATAATGATGACACCCACATTCACATCACATTTGCATTTAAACGAGCTATCGCTCATATGCGATATGTGGTTAAACTAAGTTATTTACTTACTTACTTACTTACTTACTACCGATACTACTTTTTCTGGTTCTGATTTGCATTTGATTCAGTCTAGTCTATCTCGTGACTTTGAAAAGCTAAGCAAGTGCCTTGTGTCTAGCAGAGCTTAGCAGACTTACCTTGAACGCTACACTGAGCTGAATTTATGTTAATCGGCTCCAGGCAAAGATTAAGTTCTCTATCTGATACACTCGAACTCCCATTGATAATGTTTCGATTGAACAAGTTTCCGCTGTAAGATCTCGTGGAATAGATATCGATGAAAATTCAACGTGGCATTTCCACATTGATAAACTGTGTAAAAATATCGCTTCTGCAATTGGAGCCATAAAGCGAGTTAAGTCATTTGTGCCTCAATCCACCCTACTCAATATCTGCAACTCACTTGTTCAATCTCACGTTGATTACTGCAGCCTAGTCTGGGGTAATTGTGGGAAAACATTATATAACAAGCTACAAAAACTACAAAACCGTGCTGCACGAGTAAAAATTTCATCAGACTATGACGCAGTTGTCCATTCTTTGTTTCACAAACTCAGCTGGAAAGACTTGAAATCTCAACGTTAAATTCAGAACGCCTTAATGGTTTTCAAGTCTTTACATGGGCTGGTTCCGAAAATCTCTCGTCTAAATTCATAAAGTTAAATTGATCAAGCTATTCTCTGAGGGACTTGGTAAACAAACTCGTTGTCCCCTTTCCAAGAACTAATTACATGAAAAATAGTTTTAGTTTCAGCGGCGCAGCCCGTTGGAACAGCTTGCCCTGTAACATTAGAGAGTCATGTTCATTAAATTAGCGCCTTCTCTATAAAAGCTTTAAACACGGTATTCATGGAAATCAGGTTTTTTGAATAAATAAATAAATAAAAAAATTATAAATGTGAAAGAAAACATCTATCGAAGGAAAAGTTTCCCAATTTTTGCTTTTGAAGTATTGGCTCTACGATGCCTAGTAAGTTTTTTTTTCATTCGACTCCCTATCACAATTTTATTAAAATTCAGAAAGTGATCATTGGCTAAGTTTTATTTTGAATGAGAATCGTCAAGGTTTGTCCATTTTTCCTCGGATTTTATCATTACGTTCAAATCACTTAGTGGGTAATTAAACCTTGCCGTCAATTTTACTATCGAGGAGAGGTAACGCTCAGAAAAGGTTACACTCAACTGGGTCGCGTGACTTAGACGAAGATTTTTTTTCCCGCCAAGCACCCAAGTCACGCAAACATTGAAACTCTCCCCAGATTCCTCGAGAAAGATCCCAGTGAGTGATGGGAAGAGGTGCTTTGCTAAGCATAATTATCTCACAGCACACATGGGGAAGAGTTATGATCGTTGTTGTGTGGGGACTGTAAACGGTTGTAAGGCTTGCTTGGAATTCTGAAGATCGACCAGTGCATCATAAAAGGTGTAAGTGTAACCTTAACTCCAGTTTGGATCGGTTACAGCGACATCAACAATCTTTACTTCGTCATTGATCGACCGGGACAAATTATGTAAATACCAAGGT